TAAATAATATGATACAGCCCTTACATGATTTTAAAAGAAAGAATAAGTAAACTGGGTGAGAGAATGGAAAAAGAAGTTAGAGATGGAATTACAAAAAGACATGCAAAATAAAGAGGATTAAAAATCAAATGGAACTGAAAAAAGATGAAATGAATTTAATTGAAAAAGAGGACTTGGCAAATAAAATAAAGATGTCCAAACAAAACTTCTTTGAAAATGCTAATAAGATTAGCATGATGATTGGCTTATAAAATGAAAAAGGAGAGAGAAAAAAATCTAATTAATTAATGGATGAGGAAGGAACTTTATGCTATTGAAATGAGGAGAAGAAGAAAATAGTACAGAAATACTATGAGAAACTCTATAAACAAGAGATAATATCAGAAGAGAAGATAAAGCAATATTTAGAAAAGTCTGAATTACCTAAAACACCAGAAAAATACAAGGCGGCTTTGGAGGAAAGGATGATGGAATTAACAGAGGGGATTAAAAAACAAAAGAATGATAAAACGCCGGGTCCAGATGGTTTGCCAGCAGAGTTGTATAAAATATCACGGGACGTAATTAGTAATACAGTATTGGAGGTATTTAATGAACTATTAGTAAATGCAAAAATACGCAATTCTTGGATAGAGGCATATATTATTCTTATACCGAAAGAAGACACAAACTTACAACAAGTTAAAAACTATAGACCAGTTTCCTTGTTAAATGCGGATTATAAAATATTTGCATCAATAATGGCGAATAGATTGAAGAGGTTGTTAAATGAATTTATTCATACAGATCAAAATGGTTTCTTATCAAAGAAACAGATTAGAGATAATATGAGGACAATTTTAAATACTGTGGAATATTATGAAGCACACCCAGAAAAGCAAAGGGCATTGATGTTTCTTGACGCACAGAAGGCTTTTGATAATGTGAACTGGCAATTTATGATAAAACAATTGCAGACTATGGACTTTGGGGAAAGATTTATAAATATGACTGAGGCAATTTATAGTAAGCAATCTGCAAAGGTGATAATAAATGGAGATATGACAAAGAAGGTTAATATTATGAAAGGAACAAGGCAGGGATGTCCTCTATTCCCATTGTTATTTGTGACATTAGAGGTGTTAAATAGAAATATAAGACAAAATGAAGAGATAAAAGGGATGAAAATTAAAAAAGAAGAATACAAACTACAAGCATTTGCAGATGATCTAGTGTTTATTTTAGAGGACCCCCAAGATGTAGGACCCAGACTGATAGAACAAATAGAAGAATATGGAGAGGTGGCAGGGTTGAAAATTAATAAAGATAAAACAAAAATATTGGTGAAAAATATTACAGAGAAACAGAAAAGAGATTTAATGGAGAAACTAGACATTCAGATTATAAAATGGTAAGGTATTTAGGAATACAACTAACAGCAAGATGTGTAATGACTAAAGAAGATAATTACTATAAATTGAAAGGACAAATTGAGATAGATTTGGAAAGATGGAAAAATTTGCAATTATCATTAATGGGAAGAATAGAGGTAATTAAGATGAATATGTTACCTAGATTGTTGTTTTTATTTCAAACAATACCAATCAAACTGGGAAAAAATTATTTTGAAGACCTGAATAGAATGATATTGAAATTTATATGGCAGGAGAAAAAAGCAAGAATCAATATGAAAATGTTACAAGATGCAAGACAAAGGGGAGGATTTGGATTACCAAACTGGGAATTATATTATCAAGCAGCAGCACTATCATGGATGAAAGAATGGATTGTATTAATAAATACAAGGCTATTGACTTTGGAGAGGCATGATTTACAAATAGGTTGGCATGCTTTTTTATGGTATGGGGAAAATAAGATGCATAGTTATTTTCAAAGACATTATGTAAGGAATGCTTTATTATTAGTATGGGAGAAGGTTAGAGAAAAACATTATTTCAAAACAGCAACATCACTTTCAACAATGAAAGCATTAGTACATCCAAATATTATTAATATGGGAAATATTATTAGATATAAAGATATTTTATCAGAAAAGAGTGAATTGAAAATGAAACAAGTGATTGATATGGAGTGGTATACACAACTGCAAATACAATCAAGATATAAAAAAGATGAAAAGTTATATGGTTTTTATTTGGAGATGACAGAATTGGATGAGATACTCACAGGAACAGATGAAAAAATGATTTAAAAATTCTATAGTTATTTACTTGGTGTTAAACTAGAAGAAGAACAAGTAAAAGAAACAATGTTAACATGGGCAAAACATTTTGGATACACAATAGAGTTAGATAAATGGCAGCAATTATGGGAAAGAAATTATAAATTAACAATGGCTACAGCATATAAAGAGAACTTGTATAAAATGTTTTATAGATAGCACATGTCACCGGCAAGATTGGCAAAAATGTTTAAAGATAAATCAATTAAATGTTGGAAATGCCACCAGACACCGGGATTGTATTATCACATGTGGTGGACATGTCCAGAAGCAAGAAATTATTGGGCAAAAATTTGAATATGGTTAGAGAAAATGACACAGCAATATACTGATCTTAAACCAGAGCTGTTCCTGGGTATCTTACCAGAGAAATTTAGTAAAGAAAATAAATATTTGATTATACATGTAATACAGCAGCAAGAATGGTATTTGCAGAAAATTGGAAAGCAGGAAAAATTCCTACAAAGGGAGAGATAATTAAGAAAATATTAGATTGCGCAGAAATGAGTCAATTAACATTAGCAATTAAAGGGAAGGAAGAATCGGAGTATTACAACATATGGGGGCCATTTTATCAATGGATAGAGACTGAATATAGACAATAGGCAATGTAAAAGTAAGAAATATGGAAAAAATATGTTGTAATACATTAAATGTAAGAGAAAAGATAAATATGTATTAAGAAAATGATGATAAATGTTGAATATGAGGACACAAAATTTTTTTGTACCCAGATGCTACACTGATTGATTAATGGTGAATTGTTTGTTTAAAAATAAAAATGAAAAACTTAAAACAAATAAAAATAAATGTGAGTCAGTTGTCAAGCATCTGAATGAAAATCGCATGACCATGGGAATGCTGCAAAGATCGTAAGTGTGAAAAATGGTCATAAGTCACTTTTTTCAGTGCCGTTGTAACTTCGAACGGTCACTCAACAAACGGTTATAAGTTGAGGACTGTCTGTGTTAGATACCTGCAGACAGTCATTCATTGGTAGACTCGTGAAAAGTCCCAGACAAACTGACTTCAGGAAGAAGAAAACCTTACGGCAAGCAAAGAGCATTTCCTGGAAGGCTTTACCCAGACTTGTTAAGTATACCAAAGTCCCTGCAGGAAATAACCCCCATGAAGAGCAATTCCAAAGAATAGGAATAGAATGAACTGGAAGGGACCTTGGAGGTCTTCTAGTCTAGCCCCCTGCTCAAGCAGGAGAACCTATACCAGGGGTCTGCAACCTTAAATACTCAAAGAGCCATTTGGACCCGTTTCCCACAGAAAAGAAAACACTGAGAGTCACAAAACCTGGGTGGGTGTGGCCAACTCGATGTCACTTCCACCAGTCATATGACTTCCCTAGCCACGCCTACCCAGCCAATCAATAGGGCAGAGAACTAGTTGTTAAAAAACACTGGGAACCACACAATCCTTTTGACATCTCTCTCTCTCCCCTCCCTCCCTCTCTCCCCCTCTCTCTGTATCTCTCTGTCTCTGCCCTGGCTGCTTCTCCATTCCCCGCTGTCGCCCTTACCTTCTTAGGCCAGGCGAGGAGTGACTGGGAGGGGAGACTGAGGGGCGGGGCCAGCCAATGGTGGGATCACCTGATAGGGAGCCACAGTAGAGGGCCCAAAGAGCCGCATGCGGCTCCGGAGCTGCAGGTTGCTGACCCCTGACCTATACCATTTCAGATAAGTGACTGTCTACAGGTAGTCCGTGCCCTACGACCACAGTTGAGCCCAACATTTCTGTGGCTAAGCGAGACATTTGTTAAGTGAGTTTTGCCCCATTTTATGACTTTTCTAGCCACAGCTGTTAAGTGAATCACTGCAGCTGTTAAGTTATCAACATGGTTGTTAAGCGAATCTGGCTTCCCATTGGCTTTGCTTGTCACCAAAGGGGACCCCGCATGAGGGACACTGCAACAGAGGTTTCAGCAGGTTCTGACCAGTTCTGGAGAACCAGTAGAGGAAATTTTGAGTAGTTCAGAGAACCAGTAGTAAAAATTCTGACTAGCCCTGCCCCCATCTATTCTCTGCCTCCCAAATCCCAGATGATTGGGAGGAAATGGGGATTTTGCAGTAACCTTCCCCTGGAGTGGGGAGGGAATGGAGATCTTACAGTATCCTTCCCCTGCCATGCCCACCAAGCCACCCCCACAGAACCGGTAGTAAAATTTTTTGAAACCCACCACTGCACTGCAACCCTCATGAATCAGTTGCCAAACATCTGGATTTTGTTCACCGGTTGTAAGTGGGGGGGGGGAAGGGCCGTAAGTCACTTCCCCCCCCCCCCCCCCCCCCTTTAAAACCCCGAAGGGCCCCAAAGAAAACGAACGTTTTTAACCCAGGGCCACGTGGGCCAGCCGTTCTCTTCCCTCCTCTCTCCCCCCCCCGCCCCCCCCCCCCCACAACGCCTTTCTTTTGCTGGGGAGTCGGGCGTCTCCTCTCCTCGGGCGCTTCACCCAACGGAATAGCTAACAAGAGAAATAGGTTTACCGCTGGCCTGCGTCCCCAATCTCCGGCGGGGGCCTTTCTTAGATGGGAAGGCGGCATTCGCCTCGAGGGGAGCTGGGACGACGACCCCCTGCCCGGCCGCGCAGCCACTGTGGAGGGGTAACCAAAATAATAATAATAATAATAATAATAATAATAATAATAATAATAATAATAATAATAATAATAATAATAATAATAGTGCTCGGCCGGAGGAATCTCTGCCGCGGAGCCCGAAGACGGGAGGCAGGCGGAGAGCCAATGGGGGAAAGGTCCGTCGGCTCTCCCAGGAGGGGATCCGCGCAAGGAAGGTGGGTCGAGCTTAGGGGGCAGGGCTGCCGCTAGGCCAGCTCCGGCTCCTGCTCCGTGGGGGCTGAGCAGAATGGCGGGGCGGGACAGCTCGTTCGAACAGGTCGAGCTGCACCCTGAGGGGCAGGTCGGCGGGCGGAGACGGTGCCAACAGCCACGCCAACACTCCCGCCATCACCAGCATGCATTCCCGGAGCCGCGTTCATCCCTTCGGACGGGGACTCGGGCCGCTGCAGCCGCCGCCGCCGCCGCTAAGCTTTTCCCATCCGCCGGCGGCCGCTTGGGTTCTTTGGCCGAAGACGAGCTGCCTCCGTGGCGCAGGCGCCGCCTCTTCATGGAACCCCCCGAGCCGGCTTCGGAGGAGCCCCGCGGCCACCGAGCCTTGTGGAAAGCGCCGAGCGGGCGTCAGTGGCCCGTCCTGGTGGCCTGCTTGACCTGCTGCACCCTGCTCGGATGGTACACGGCCCGCAGCCTGAAGGACTCCGCGGCGCTCGAAGACCTCTGGCGGGAGGATGAAGACCCCGAGACGACGATGACGACGACGGAGATGGGGATGGAGGAGACGGTGACGGTGCTGGTGTGGTGGCGTCCATTCGGCAGCGGCGGCGTCGTCTCAGGCGACTGCCGGCAATTCAACATCAGCGCCTGCCGCGTCTCCACCAACCGCAGCCTCCAGCCCAAAGCGCACGCGGTCGTCATCCATCACCGGGACCTACAGTCTCATGGCCTCGGCCAGCTACCTCGGCAGAGGCCGGCGGACCAGCGGTGGGTCTGGATGAACTTAGAGTCGCCCACCCACACCACGGGCCTGAGTAACCTGGGCGGCCTTTTCAACTGGACTTTGTCCTACCGGGAGGACTCGGATGTCTTTACACCCTATGGGTACCTCAAGCTTCGGCCGCAGCCCCTGGTCCAGTTCACTTTGCCCAAGAAGACCAAGCTGGTGGCCTGGGTGGTCAGTAACTGGAATGAAGGTCACGCCCGGGTCCGTTATTACCACCAGCTGAAAGAGTATCTCCCCATTGATGTTTATGGATCTCGTAGACTGTCGCTCAAAGACAACAATGTGGTGAAGACTGTCTCGGAATACAAGTTTTATTTGGCCTTTGAAAACTCCCAGCATCATGACTATATCACGGAGAAACTCTGGAGGAACGCCTTTGAGTCGTGGGCCGTGCCCATCGTCTTGGGTCCCCCGAGGGCCAACTACGAACGGTTTATCCCCTCCGACGCCTTCATTCATGTCAATGACTTCTCCGACCCCATGGAGCTGGCGATTTACCTGAAATTCCTAGATAAAAACAAGAACATGTACCAGAAGCATTTCGCCTGGAGGAAACGCTATGATGTGAAGCGTTTGTCCTTTTGGACCGAACATTGTTGTAAGGTTTGTAACGTAGTCAGAAAGGTGGGGAAACAGCCCAAGACCATCCAGAACCTCGCCACATGGTTTGAAAGTTGACCTCCACGGATTGACTGAGTTTCCATGCAGGATGGTTGGGTTGACGCATTTACCCAACCAAAGCACAAGAAAATATATCAAGGATATTTCAGTTTTGCTTAAGTTATCAATTAACTTAATTGATAAGTTAAGATTGCTTGGTTTAATAATCATGGGGAGATTCACCGTTTTGTGTGTGTGTATGCATTTATGGACTCCCCCCCCCCTTTTGGCCTCTATGGTCAATACAGTTCTTCAGCAAACTGAAGCACAAAAATGTGCCACATATTTGTATTTAAACGTTTATTTGCAATCTTAGCAAATAAGCAAAATAAGCGAAACCATTAGCAAAATACATATAAATTTATAGCGATCATATCATTTCAATACATCCCCTCTATTTTTAAAAGCAGTATTGGGCAGGATGTCAGGCTTTCATAGCTTCCTTGCAGCCATTGCAAGCAATGTAATGTTTTGTTACATGTTTGTCTGCATCAGACAACCAAAACAATTTTTTTCTTCTAATCTAGATTGTTTCAATTGGATTAACCAGGGCATTATGAATCTAGACCAGAATTCCTGATAAAGTTTCCAATGTAGTAAATAATGGGTCAAATCTTCCACTTATAAATTATTGCAAATATGTTAAAGGTGTATAGTTGGTAATCCTCTGTATTTTCTGTCCAAATAGGCTGTTAGCCTTGTATGAAAGTGAAGTTTTATAAAGGCTTTTTTCTCAGGGAATAAGACGTAAGAAACTGTAAATAGTATCACATTCCCCTTTCTCCTTGATATTCCTTGTCCTCCATCCTGAATTCTAATTAATACGTCTACTTGAGCTCAACTTTCACTAATGTGCCTGTTTTTATAGCAGTAGAATTTTTAAAGTGGAGAATATTTTTTTTAAAAAAATAGACTTTTTTTTACCCCATATGCATAGTCTCAAGAGGATCTGTGATGATTCACTACAGGATTTGCTGATGTTATGCCTTTCATTGTCAGACAACTTCAAATTATGACATGTTCTCCTTTCATTTTAGACATATTTAAAAACTTTTATTGTCAGGGTGAGCCAGAAAAATAGATCCCATTGGCAAGATACAAAATGTCAGGTCAAAATTGTTTTGTTGTAAGTGAAATAATTTCATTCATTAGACCCATGTTAGCATTTTCAGGTTATTAATGCTAATTACAGCTCTAATTTATTAAAATTGATAGACTCATAGGCAAGATAGTTTCCTAACTCTGACCATTGATACAACTTGCATTGTTTGCACACATTGGATGATCTAATATAAATTATACAACTAGAAGAATTACTTTACTGGTTAGTTACTTGGGAAAACCACCACTTAATTGATTAAAAATGTACTGGGAAAATAATTAAGAAAAAATGTTGGTCTGCTGTTTGATCCGTGCACTTTTTAAAAAATTAATCCTTTGGGGTTTGGCATGTATATTACAGTTTTTCCAGATGTTTTAAAAACAGCTAATTTAGAGAGAAAAGTTTCCAAAGATCAAATTATTATTTTTTTCTCAAAAACAATTTATACATAGGATCTTTTGTTCTGGAATAGAGTATGCTAAGAAATAAAGCAGTATATGAAACATTCATTCTTAAAACTGAAATTTTATATTATTGTATTATCAGTTCAATGAGTGTTAGCAAAGCAGTATTAATAGAGTTTTGCCCACTGACTAAACAGACAAACTGACTGTGGAAGACCTTTACCCAAGTAAGTTTTTTCCCAGCCAGAATCTATTATTATTATTTTTTATTAGAAATATCAAGACATGGACTGTACAGGTAGTCTTTGACTTATGACCGCAGGCGAGACCAGAATTTCTATTGCTAAACAAGATGGCCACTTTTATGACCACTTTTGCCAAGCGGTTATTAAGGAAATCACTGCAATCGTTAAGAGAATAATCAGGTAATCTGCCTTGCCTTTGCTTGTGGGAAACCAGTTAGGAAGATTGCAAAAGACAATCAAATAACCCAAGGGCAAAGCAGCTATTGTAAATACATTCTGGTTGCCAAATACCCAATTTTCCTTCAATGACTATGAGGATGCTGCAGTAGTTTTAATTGTGAAGCTCAGTCACTTTTTTCAGTGCCGTTTCAACTTCAAATGGTTACTAAACAACAGTTGTAACTCGAGGACTATTTGTATTAGCTGCACATAAACTGATACTGAATTTGGTGTGTTTTCACAGTTTTAATTCCAACAATCTCAAAGATGTTTTTTGTCTCTGCCTTCTAAATTGCAACAGGCTCAAAATATCCTCACCTCTGTTTTTTTCAGCTAGGTCGCCTGTAGATATGAATTACATAATAGGAAAAAAATGCTATAACAAGACTTCTCTTTGGAGCATATGAAAGATTTCTTTCACTAAAAATGAATGTATTTGCACCCAGAAGACAAGTAAGGAGAGAGGTGGCAGGAAAAAAAAATTAAAGCAAACAACTTAACCGATTTACCAAGAGTTTCCGTGGGGTGCGGTTTTTTTGGGTTTTTTTGGAGACATGTTGGAATTTTCCTGACTTGTCATGGGGAAAAGTTAGTTACAATTTCAATTAAATCAGATTTGCCCACGCAGGATAAATGCCACAGTCTGACCCGTTGATAAATTTCATGTAAACTGATTAGAGATAGGTAGAAATCCTTGTAATTTATTTTCATTTTGTTGCGTTTGCATTAGTAGTAGAGATCTTTATGGTTCAATAATTCATCAAGGATTCTGAAATTGTGTGGAATTGAAAATGCTGCGATGGGAAGAGGAGCTTGCAAACTGAAATATGAATTTTGAAATCATTTGCTGGAAAGGCTGGAAAGAAATGAAAGGAGCCTTAACATGACCTATTTTTTTAACAATGAAAATTCACTGCTGTCTTTCAGGAAGATTTTCAACTTCGTGATCTAATTTATATCCTTGGTATTTCCTATCAAAGCACTAAGCAGGTTAAGCCTGTTTGCTTTCCCACCGGCCAAATGTTACTGCATACCAGTGGTGAAATCTAAAATTTGTTACTACCGGTTCTGTGGGTGTGGCTTGGTGGGGGGGGTTAATGTGACGGTGGGCGTGGCCAATTTTTTTTTTTACTTTTAAAACCATTTTTTCTACAACCTCTTCGCCAAAGAGGTTGTTTAAAAAATGCTTTCAAAAGGCTCTGATGATCCCAGCTGAGTTGCCTGATTGGCAGAGGCTTTTTTCCTTTTAAATGCCTCTGACGATCAGGCAACTCAGCTTGGATCGTCAGAGGCTTTTAAAAGAAAAAAAAGCCTCTGATGATCGCGCAGCTCAGCTGCGCATGGGGGGGGGAGGGATTTTTGCTACTGGTTCTCCGAACCACCCGCCTCCATCGCTACTGGATCGGGTGATCCAGTCCGAACCGGGAGCATTTCACCCCTACTGCACACAGTACATATTTTAAAGGAAATGAAACTTAAGGCAGTGAGCCAAATTTTTTTAATACAGATTAAGCCGTGGTTTCCTTCCTTCCTTCCTTCCTTCCTTCCTTCCTTCCTTCCTTCCTTCCTTCCTTCCTTCCTTCCTTCCTTCCTTCCTTTTTTATGATCATAAGGAACAATAACTTGCACTAAAGACAACATTGTATCTTGAAAAGATTCTGTCTGTGGAAATTTGCACTGGAATAAATGAGCTAGTCCTTAAAGTGCCACAATATTATTTGTCCTTTTTTATGCCTTATTGGAATAAATTGGAAAGTTTGTCTAATATCCGTGTGAAGATGTTAGTTTCAGGAAATCATTGCTCTGTAAAAGGTTATATATTGTGTTGAAGGAAAGTATTGGTCGAAGTTATTCCTAACAAACCTTCTTTGCAAATGGTCATTTTAAAGCAAGCCTCCTGCTTATTTTGTGAAATTTATAGGGAAATAATATTTTATATGTCTTATATCTCATCCTTGTTTTGTCCTGTCTTATTTCTTGTTCTTGAACTTATAACAGTCCCTTTAGCTTTAATTACATGGTTGAGAAACTAAACTAAAAATTTGGGACCCATACAAATGCACAGGTATTGTCATATTGATTGCTTTTAAAAAGATACAGGTAGTCATTGGTTTACAGTACAACTGGGACGGGTGAAATCCAGCAGATTCTGACAGGTTCTAGAGAACCGGTAGTGGAAAGTTTGAGCAGTTCGGAGGACCGGCAGTGGAAATTTTGAGTAGTTTGGAGAACCAGCAAATACCACCTCTGGCTGGCCCCAGAGTTGGGTGGGAATGGAGATTTTGCAGTATCCTTCCCTCAGGAGTGGGGAGGGAATAAGGATTTTGCAGTATCCCTCCCCTGGAGTGGGTGGGAATGGAGATTTTGCAGTATCCTTCCCCTGCCACACCCACCAAGCCACGCCCACAGAACTGGTAGTAAAAAAAAAATGGATTTCACCACTGAACTGGGACCAGAAATTTAGTTGCTAAATCAGGTGGTTATTAAGTGAGTTGTGTCCAATTTTATGATTTATTTTTTTTTTTGCCACGGTTAAGTGAATTTCTGCAGTTGTTAACTGAATCATGGGATTGTTAAATAAACCCATCATCCCCAATTCATTGCTTGCTGGAAGCCAGTTGGGAAACTTGCAAATGGCGCCCATGACCCTGGGACACCGCAGTTGTTATAAATAACAATTTATAAGTACCCAAATTTTGATATTGTGGCCAAGGGGATGCTGTGATGGTCATAAGCAGGGGGACCAGTCCTAAGTCACTGTAGAAAATTAGCACCCATGCCCTCCTAGAAGAATGAAATATTTTGAGAAATATTAAAAAGGCAGAATATTATATTTCCCTGGATGAGAAATTGAGAAACATGCTCTTGGAGACAGAAAGCAGCCCCCATCTTTCTTAATAGCCCTCAGCAGATATCAGCACTTAGAGACAAAGGGATAGATAGCTCTATTCATAAGCAAATTCCCTGCAGCAAGGTCTGAATAAAGGTAGGATTAGCCCTCAGCCAAAATAGGAATTGCCCAACAAGCCCCTTCATTGCATCAGCAGATCAAACTTCAACCAAACTTGGGAGTCTGACAACAGCCAATAGAATACATGTTCTTGCACAGGAATAGGAAGTTCAAGTGCAAAGCCCAAGAGAAGTTATAACTACCCCCTTTCAATTTCTTGTGGTCAACTGCCCAGAACCACAAACCCATGTGGGTCTGCTTCATCATTAAACCATCTTTCCAATCATCCTCCATGTTTCCAGTGTCTTTCTTCCAGCTTGGAACTGAACCAGATGGATATTTCTTCCAACACCACTTTTTCAGTACCATTATCATTTCAAATGGTGACTAAACGAAATGGTTATAAGTCAAGGACTACCTGTACAATTCCTTGCATGAAAAGGAGGGCCATCAGCTAAATCACAATCTCCTTTTGGACAACTCTTGATAAGGGAGACACAGTTTTAATGATCATTAAGACATCAGAAACAGCAACCCAAAACTAAAAAGAAAACGATATTCAGGTAACATCAATATTATCAATGGACTGTATTTATCAAGACTGGTTCAATAATAGAAATAGCTGGATAAACTTTTTGCTTGAAAAATGGTTTTGATAAGATGTATGGAAAGTTTAAATGATCTGATATAAGATTAAATGTAGAAGCTATTATTTATAAAGAAACATAATATAATAATACAGGGTTAACTCTAAACAGGCAAGAAATCTTACATTATATACAGGTATTCCTCAACTTATGACCATAGTCGAGGCCAAAATTTCTATTGCTAAGTGAGACAGTTGTTAACTGAGTTTTGCCTCATTTTACAACCTTTCTTGCCACAGTTGTTGAATGAATCACTGCAGTCATGAAGTTAGTAACATGGTTGTTAAATGAATCTGGCTTCCCCCATTGATTTTTTTTGTCAGAAGGTCGTAAATGTTGATTAGATGACCCCAGGACATTACAACCGTCATAAATACACGCCAGTTGCCAGCATCTGAATTTTGATCACATGACCATAGAAATACTGCAACGGTTGTGCGAAAAACAGTCAAAAGTCACTTTTTTCAGTGCCGTTGTGACTTCAGTCACCAAACGAATGTTTGTAAATTGAGGACTATCTGTACTATTGGTAAACTTGAGGTTTACTTACTAATGTTCTTATATGATTCTCCTTAGATAATTTTTTTTAGTTTTGATATCTTTTTACAATTGACTTTTATACAGTACTGTATTTGGTTTGTTTCTAATAAACCATATTTTACTATGGTGAAATTCTGTTTACAGTACATTTTTATAAGGATTTGGGAGTTACTGTTTTATCAGAGCCTCCTTCCATGCACTGGGTTTGGAATAATTTTGGAATGATTTATTACCCAAAATGTTATTTCCTGCTATATAATGTGTGCCTCCTCAAAGATGATCAATCTCTTGTTTATATTGTTTGCAAAACTATATTGGTTTTGGTTGCTTGATGTACTAATTTAAAGCTTAATGTGATTTCTTTGCTCATGTTCTAGCAAATTTTCAGTGAATACACATTATGTTTGTGGTTTCTTCAGTAAAACATGCTAATGCTAAGCATGATTTAGGGCAGTAGTGTTGTGTAGTATGGCATTAGTTGCTGTGTTAGAGACAGCTGTCATTTATTTCTTAAAGTATGGAATTCTTAACAAAAACAATATAGGAAAGCTAACAGCTTCTCATTTGTCCGGATCAACAGAGACATATATTTGCAGTTCAAATCACTCAGGGAGTTTAATAATTATTGCTGTACGATTCTCATTGATCAAAAATAAGACTTGTTATTTGCAATCATGTTTCAGACAAAATGCAATAAAAATCCATGAAATGATCAAAACTTGCCTGTCTTTTTTGGCCTTGTTTCTTAAATATGTATTTATTTATTAAACTTACATGCTGCCATCTCACCAAAGGTGATTCTTACAATCATTCAATAAAATTTAATTTAATTATTAGACTTGTATGCTGCCCATCTCGCCTAGGGTACCATATAAAACATTACAACAAATAGGGACAATAAATTTAATTGTATTTTATGATATACATTAATTTACAATAATCTTTGAAGTTTTCCTTCAGGCACGGATATCAAATAGGAAAGCAGACATTTTTTATTTTACTCTTTTGTGGTTGTTGTTACTTCCCTGTTGATTGTGTTGGTTTAAGTATTGAAATGTTCCCATCTCCATACCATTAAGACAGATGTTAAACTTGTACAGGTAGCTCTCAACTTTGTATGATGGCATCGATAGTGGTGGCTGTTTTATTTTAATCTCATTTGATTATTTTGAGTTTATGATGACTGCCTGTTCTGTAAGCAGGGTTTTACGATGGTTATAGGTTTATGAAGTGCCACAACTCCATTAGACATAGTAATCCAGGGATCGAGTAAATAAATCAATAAATAAGGAGGAGGGCGGAGGATTTGTAGATTGTATTATTATTCCACTTGGTCACGCAGTCAGCCAGTTGTTTAGATCAGATCAGGGGTGAAATTCGACCACCTCGGGCGAGGCGGTAGGGACGATTTGAATATTTTTATTTATTTATTTATATCCCACCTTCATTATTTTCATAAACAACTCAAAGCAGCAAACATCCAACACAACTTCCTCCTTCTGTTTTCCCCAAAATGACAATTCTGTGAGGATTGTTGGGCTGAGGGAGAACAACTGGCCCAAGATCGCCCGGCTGGCTTTTACGCCTAAAGCTGGACTTGAACTCACAGTCTCTTCCTTTGTAGCCTGGGCCCTTAACCACTAGACTAAACTGGCTCTCATTCCTTCTTGGATTTCACCGCGGATATCTTTCAGACTGCGCCCAGAGACGAAAGAGAGTCCTTTCTACTCTTGAGGTCTGGCTGAAAATAGGTAAAGGTTCCCCTCCCACAGAGCCAGCGCTGTCTGAAGATGTCTCTGTGGTCATGTGGCCGGCATGACTAAACACCAAAGGCACACGGAATGCTGTTACCTTCCCACCAAAGGTGGTCCCTATTTTTCTACTTGCATTTATTACATGCTTTCGAACTGCTAGATTGGCAGAAGCTGGGACAAGTAACGGGAGCTCACCCCGTTATGCCGCGCTAGGGATTCGAACCGCTAAACTGCCAACCTTTTGATCGACAAGCTCAGCATCTTAGCCACTGAGGCACCGCCTCCCTTCTGGCTGAAAATGCTCTGCAGCAAAATCCAAGGAGAATTTTTATGGAATCCTTCCATGGAGGATTTCAGCTCCAGAGTGGAAGCTTCAAAAGCTTACATCCTGGGGATGAAAACCCAAGTGCTTCTGAGACCCTCACATACTCTCCCACACATACCTTTACTCCCTTTCCCAATCATCAGGGCCTGACTCTTGCAACTTCCTGCTGCCTTCCCCATTGACTTGATTGTTGGGAAACTGGCAAGAAGTTGCCCCGCCTAAGGGCAGGACAAGAAGCAATGAGTGGAAACTAGTTATCAAGGAGAGAAGCAACTTAGAACTAAGGAGAAATTTCTTGACAGTTAGAACAATTAATCAGTGGAACAACTTCCCTCCAGAAGTTGTAAATGCTCCAACACTGGAAGTTTTTAAGAAGATGTTGGATAACCATTTGTCTGAAGTGGTACTATAGGGTCTCCTACCTAAGCAGGGGGTTGGATCAGGAGTGAAATGCTCCTGATTCGGACCGGATCGCCTGATCTGGTAGCGATGGCAGCGGGTGGTTCGGAGAACCGGTAGGAAAAATCCCTGCCATTTTTTTTTGGCCAAAAAAATGCTTTTTTGCTGAGTTGCCTGATCGTCAGAGCCTTTTAAAAGCATTTTTTTACAACCTCTTCGACTGAAGAGGTTGTAGAAAAAATGGTTTTAAAAGTAAAAAAAAAAAAATTGGCCACGCCCACCCAATCACATTACCCACCCCCACCAAGCCACGCCCACAGAACCGGTAGTAACAAATTTTACATTTCACCACTGGGTTGGACTAGAAGATCTCCAAGGTCCCTTCCAACTCTGTTATTCTATTCTATTCTATTCTATTCTATTCTATTCTATTCTATTCTATTCTATTCTATTCTATTCTATTCTATTCTATTCTATTCTAATAACTGGGGTTTTCAGTTAACAAGAGCAGCTGGGTCTGCCTGGATTGTGGTGCTAAGCAAAGAGGTTGTACTGTAGAAGCCAAAATTCTGGTCCCAATTGTGAACTATTTACATTCTCTGCAGACCACACCCACAATTTTTTGGAGGAGGGGGGCAAATTTACAAATCTTTTATAGTACCACAAAACATTTAGTTGTTTATGGTTTTCTGCTCGGCATACAAAATTTCTACCAAAATAATAATAAAAGAAATAGAGAAAGAAAATACTTCTAAATCTGTTTGATCAGAATCATCTAAACATTTTGCCTTACAGGCTCATTCTTCTTGAACTTTTTTTTTTTTTTAATTTGATTTATATGCCGCCCTTCTCCGGAGACTCAGGGCGGCTTACAATGTGCTCAGCAATAGCCTTCATCTTTTTGTATATTTATACAAATATAGGCTGATTGGAAAGAAAGATTCTGTTTATTGTTATTATTCTGTTTATTGATGAACAGATGTAGTTCTGGGACAGCTGGCAAATTAGCTTGATGAGTGGAAGGATTTTTATAGAGTTTACAGTATTTTGTAATTTTGAGGTTTGCTTTCTGTGCTTTTATTATTTGATTGGTGGTGGGTTAATCCTATTACGCCCTAAAGGTCATGTCCTGTCCTTCTTAATCCCATCAACTGGAGCTGATGGTGTTTTTCTTAATGGGCACAAAATATCCATCTCTAAAGACTTCAGGCATTTTGCTCCATGTCTCCTTTGGAGAAATATAATATTCTGCCTCTTTTAGTCCATTCTTTAGGAGGGGGGTAGGGGCGGCTTCCCACAAACACACACAAAATGGTTCACATAGGCCTGGTAACTCTAGTACATATATTGATCTTACCCAAGTAATGTTTTTTTAAAAAGTAACATTTCTTTGAAATTTCCTGGTGATCTCACCCACTTATCTCTGTGATATTGGCAACGGAATGTAAGTGGGCAGGGGTGGGTTCTAAAATTTTTTACTACCGGTTCTGTGGGCGTGGCTTATTTTGTGGGCATGGCTTGGTGGGGGGTAATGTGACTGGGTGGGCATGGCCAGCTTTTTTTTTTTTTTTACTTTTAAAAGCATTTTTTCTACAACCTTAAGGGGTTGCAGAAAAAAATGCTTTTAAAAGCCTCTGACAATCAGGCAACTCAGCTGGGATCACCAGAGGCTTTTAAAGGCATTTTTTTTTTCTACAAATGCATTTAAAAGCCTCTGATGATCCCAGCTGAGCCACACGATCATCAGAGGCTTTTTTTTTTTTACTTTTAAAAGCATTTTTTCGGTCGAAGAGGTTGTAGAAAAAATGCTTTTAAAAGTTTTTTTTTAAAAAGCCTCTGATGAGGTGGGCGGGATAAGTGAGTGACGACCGGGCCGGGGACTGGTTTTGGGATGTGGCCAGCCAATGTTATTACCAGTTCTCCGAACTAGTACAAATTTTTACTACCAGTTCTTGTGAACCGGTGCAAACCGGGAACAACTCACCACTGGTAAGTGGGTCAAGAATCAAGGATTCAGAGAGAGAGTCTACACTAATAAAATAGCATCTACATTCACATAATCAAATCCACTGCCTGTTTTTGACATGCATCACCCATTCTGGTTCTAGGTAGATATAACCCAGCTAAACTTCTGAGCCAAAAGGTCATGTATCTGTAACTATTTCTGCAGAATGCTTATGTAGTACCAAGCTGCTAGAGGGAAAGATAGGTGCCAAATGTTTTGCTATATACAGCAGAGCCAACTTCTAGGTGCTGAAGTCCACAAGTCATAAAAGGGCCACACCTGATATTTATGTAAATATCTAAATCTTTTGAAACATTTGAACATGTTTGTGAATGCTATTTTGTAATAGTCATTCGTGTATCCTGCATATATCTTTGATTTATGACTGTAATAGCACCTGGCGATTATGGTTATGACATATATGTGACCAACCTGATTTTACAACCTTTTATGTGGTGGTAGTTAAGTAATACTACCCTCTGGAACCAGTTACCTCCCGAGATCCGGACTATTGGCCTTCTGGAAAGCGGTGAAGACCTGGCTTTTCCGGCAGGCCTGGGGCCGTTGATCTCGCTGTTGCAATCTTGCGAGATCCGGCCATGAATGGTGTGCATGGGCTTTTAATGTTTTTAAAATATTTTTACAATGTTTTAAAATAATTTTTCTATGTTCATTGTTCGCATTATTTTGGCTATAAGCCGCCCAGGGTCCCTCAGGAGTTGGGCGGCATAGAAATGCGATAAATTAAATTAAATTAAATTGTGTCATGGGCTGCAGTAGGCAAGAACAGACCAGCATAGATACAACAGCATTTATTGACTCAAACTGGAACTGAAGAACAGCAGGCAAAATCCCTGTAATTTTATACTCTGGGCCTACAGGACCTCAACCAATCACAATACCTTAAAAAGCCTGCCCAAATATGAATGTTCTGAGTTTCCCTCCACAACCGTTAAAGTTAACAGTTAGGGTTAACTAAAAGTTAGCTTCACTTTAGCTTAACATAACTATATGTATTCAATATATAATAAATAAATTGCACACTTGAGCTCGGGCCAGTCATTCTCTGCCCAACCCAGTTCACAGGATTGGTGTGAGGCAAATAAGAGAAAGGAATATTATGGATATTCAGCACTCTGATTTTACTTATAAAGTAACCCAGGGGTGGTATTCACTTACCTTCGCTACCGGTTCGCAAATGTGAGCGCGCTTGTAACACCTCTGCACATGCGCAG